AACCCCATTCCTGGGGTCATCTTTCCCCATACACCACCATGGGTGGTTTTAGGGTGGATTTTGGGGTCACCCAACCCTTTCTCACCCCACAGGAGCCCCACTTCTGGGGTTACCTGTCCTTGTACATCACCATGGGTTGATTTAGGGGGGATTTTGGGGTTGTCCAACTCTCCTGACCCCATCTAAATCCCTATAAACCCCACAGGAGCCCAACTCATGGCATCACCTGTCCCCATACACCACTGTGGGTGGATTTGGGGTGGATTTTGGGGTCACCCAACCCTTTCTAACCCCACAGGAGCCCAACTCATGGGGTCACCTGTCCCCATACACCACTGTGGGTGGATTTGGGGTGGATTTTGGGGTCACCCAACCCTTTCTAATCCCACAGGAGCCCAACTCATGGGGTCACCTGTCCCTGTACGCCACCATGGTTGGATTTAGGGTGGATTTTGGGGTCGCCCAACCCTGTCTCCCCCCGCAGGAGCCCCACTCATGGGGTCACCTGTCCCCATACACCACTGTGGGTGGATTTGGGGTGGATTTTGGGGTCACCCAACCCTTTCTAACCCCACAGGAGCCCCACTTCTGGGGTCACCTGTCCTTGTATACCACCAGGGGTGGATTTAGGGTGGATTTTGAGGTTGCCCAACCCAGTCTTACCCCACAAGAGCCCCATTCCGGGGTCACCTGTCCCCGTACCCCACCATGGGTGGTTTTGGGGTGTATTTTGGGGTCCCCCAACCCTGTCTCCCCCCGCAGGAGCCCCATTCCCGAGGTCACCTGTCGCGGCCCGAGGCGCAGTCGCTGTCGCCGTACACGACGAGCGCCAGCCGTGCCAAGCTGCTGGCCAAGAACCGGCAGACGTTCCTGCTGCAGACCACGCGGCTGACGCGGCTCTCGCGCCGCCTGTGCCGCGACGTGCTGCAGCCGCGGCGGGCGGCGCGCCGGCCCTACGCCCCCATCAACGCCAACGCCATCAAGGCTGAGTGTGAGCAGGGAAAAAGGGAAAAAACGGGGGTTTGGGGGAAAAAAATGGAGGTTTGGGGGTGGTTGGGGTCCCCTCAGGGGGTATCAGAGTATATGGGATTCCTACGCCCCCATCAACGCCAATGCCATCAAGGCCGAGTGTGAGCGGGGAAACTGGGGGGAAAATGGGGGTTTGGGGGAAAAAATGGGGGGAAAATGCGGGTTTGGGTAGGAAAAAATGGGGGATTTGAGATCCCCATCAATGCCAATGCCATCAAGGGCAAGTGTGAGCAGGGAAACGGGGAGAAATGGGGGTTTGGGGGGAAAAATGGGGTTTGGGGGGATTTGAGATCCCCATCAACACCAACGCCATCAAGGCAGAGCGTGAGTGAGGGAAATGGGGAAAAATGGGAGTTTGGGGGCAAAAAATGGGGGCTTGGGGGAAAAAAATACAGGTTTGGGGGGAAAAGAATGGGGGTTTGGGATACCCATCAACGCCAATGCCATCAAGGCTGAGTGTGAGAAATGGGAGGGAAAAACGGGGAGAAAAAGGGGATTTGGGACCCCCACCCAGGTGGATTTGGGACCCCCACCCAGGGGGATTTGGAACCCCCATCAAGGCCACGTGTGGGTGTTGGGACTGGGCGGGGGGAAGGGGGGTTTGGGACCCTTCTGTGGGACTGAAGGGGGGGTCTCATCCCCCCCTGAGCCCCCTGTGGTCCCCCCAGGCTCCATCCGGCTGCCCAAGGCCGCCAAGGCCCCCATGAAGATTCACCCGCTGACCCGGCTGCCCCTGGCCGCCATCGTCAAGGAGCTGGGTGAGGGGCTGGGGGG